ATGGTAATAACATGCAAAAACTATTTGCTGGGTATTTGTTGGCTACAAACTTAATATTCCACTTATTCAAATCTTGTAAGGTTGCCATAAAAGCGCTTGGTGGGCCAATTGTTTTGCTTGACTTTTGGTGCATAGTCACAAGATAAATCCTCCCTTGCTTAACTTCCACATGCATTATCTAAGCAGATTTATTGGTGGGCTGAACATGCAAAAATTGTATATATTGCTCCGAGCAGAGTATGGACGTAATTAGCAAATCAACTGTGCGGCTCACTTCTTCATGCGATAGTCGTTCATGTCTTTGATTGCTGCTCGGCTGAAATATTTTAGCTGGTTTGCTCGTGTGTTGCAGCTCAGTCAGACTGCGTCTTGTTCGGCCCGACGCAACTTCTTCGATTCATTTCGGTCCATAGGTTCTGCTCACACCCAACTTGGCTTACCTCATGCATGTTACAACTTGGTTGGTTATCGTCGCTGCTCGGTCGACCCTTTTCTGACACTTGATGGGCCGAACAACTCTTATTTATTTTACTCAAGACTTACCGAGCTCGGTCTTTTTATTTCGGTCTTCCAATTCTCGTTCTGCGTCGTTCGGCTTCCTCCATTTCTGCTCGATTTATTTTTATTTGGTTATCTTTGTTGTCATTCAGTCATCACGGAACACTCCGTTTCTAGTTCGAAATTGCCATGGCCTGCTCGATCAGCCGAGGTCGTGCGCGGTACAAGCTTGGTCCGTTGTACATATCGAAACTTAGGGCCAATTTACAAGTCCCGTACACTTTAATTCGACTAGACTGTTGCTCAGCTATGGGTTTGTCGTTGCTCGGCCTTAGAGGAACAACCCACCAAATTCGTAGCTCGGTTGCTAGCTTGATTCGTTTGTCGTCGACAAGTGAGTTCGGTTGGTTACCGTTAATCCGTAGCTTGGTTTGCACTAGCTCTTTCACGCTGCTCGGTTGTTGACTACATGGGTTGGTTTGATGTCACCATTCCGATCAACTGAGTTGTCCAATCTAAGTTTCGGTCGACCCTTTCTTCGAGCCATCAGTTCGGTTTTCAGTCTTTGCTTAGTGTTCTTTGCTGGGTCTGCTATAACTTATTGGCACATGCATGGACCAGCTTAGTGAACACTAGTTTGTGCTCAGTTTAATCTTTTCAGCGCAACGCTCGGTTAGCCACCATCTTGGTCTTACCGTTGAATTTCAAGCTCGTTGAATTTCAAGCTTGGCACTGGCGGACGTACATACTCGACTCTCGAGCTGCTACGGGTTTATGTCTTGTTGGTGGGTTGGGCTACCAACGTGACGTGAAGAAGACCCATCAATTTTTGAAAAATAAAACAAACCCATCTTGCCTCCACTTTTTTACTTCTGAAAAGCACAGGTTCCTTTTTTGAGAATAAAGTAATCTATTTTCTTTATCTTTACGTTTCCTTTCCTTTCCTTGGAACTTTAAAACAATTTAAAAATCTAAGAGCTTGACATGGGACTCTTCTTATAAATTCTGAATTTTTTTTCTAGAAAGTTGATAGCTTCCTCCAATGTTTTGGTTTTCCCATTTTCTCTCTCTAGAATTTCAAGTCAGAGAGATCAATCTCTTCTCTATTTCACGTTGGTCCAGGCTTCTTCGGTGTCTTGAGCAGTGTATTTTAAATGGAGTGAACCCACCGTTGTCTCGTCGCCCATGGCTTGTAGCACTATTTCTTGTGCCTTTATTCCAAAGCTGCTTTTTTACCTAAAATATCACATCCCTCGCAGTGGGTTTGCCACTGTAATTTATTGATTCATGTTGTTGACACTATTTTGTAAGTCCTCAACCACTGTTATTTTTATTTTTAATTTTTTTTTTGCAACTCACAATTTTTCTCTTGGTTGCCACAGTGGGATTGCTTCATCGGAGACGCACGCCATCGAGTTCCTCTTGATTTTGACACCGTAAGTCATAGAATCCATGTATTTATTTTCCACTTTCACCATTACTTTTTGGCTAAGTGTAACATTAAGAGTTGTCTAGCATACGATTGCTCGGCCGGCCATTGTACCTCCAACCTTGCAAGTCATCCTTAGTGTAGTTGTTTGGTGGAACGTCGCACCTCCCATGGGTAAGTTTCGGAACCTAGTGGACACCTCGGCGGGAATGGATGAGTTCCGCCAAAGATATAACATTCCCAATGATGTCACGTTGACATTGGAGGCGGTAGACGCAGATCGGTCATGTACAAGCACCACAATGCCCTTCTCAATTGCCTCCGTCGTAGAGGAGGGTGTTAGGTTTCCGTTGAATCCTTTGTTGCGTCGATTCTTTTCTTATTTTGAATTTACACGAATATAAATATCAATGAACACATTTAGAGTGGTAAACGGTGTCTCGGTCTTGAATGACCTCTTAGACTTAGACTTGGGTATTTGGGATATCCTTCATTGCTACTCCTTGTGTCGTAATAAAGGCGGAAAAATCTATTATGTCAAAGTTCGGTCGTTGGACCTCCAACTCGTTACTGAACTTCCTGATAATGACAAGCATTGCTCTGATTTCCTTCAAGTCGGAGGTAATTAGGAGTTTGCAGCCGAGGAGGTGGGCCGATCGAAGCGGGTTCCACGAGAGAACGGCCACCCAAGTCATTCTTTATTTTAGTTTCCTTTTATCCATTTGCTTATCGCCTGTTATTTTTTTTAAGTGTTATTGTTCGTACTTGCAGGTTCAAAGAAGCTAAAAAGGAGGCCAGAGAAAGAGCATCCAAGGGATATCAAAGCTACACTAAGGTACGAAGATCAGTCGGCCACGCAGTTGCTTAACTATGTGCGAACTTACAGACATGTCATCCAATGAAAACCCAAAGTAAATGACTTCTCGAGGGACTTACTTGATATTGAAACCGAAGAGCAAGTTGGTCACACCACCGGAGCTTCCTCTTCTGCTGTTGTTTGTTCATCAAGTGGATCACTCAGTAGAGGCTACTCTTCGTCGCCAGACTTAGCAAACGAAATGGCTCATCGCCAAAAGCTTAATCTTGATGCCTTAGTCTTTGGATCTGATGATGAGGACCTTCTAGCTGTTTCGACGGTTGACACACAAGTTCCTTCTCCACTGATTGAGAGGTCTAAGGGTGGAAAAAAGCATGTTGTTGTTCCTCCTCCTCCCGTTGCTACTCTTGCTCTTCCCGCTGATAGGGCTTCAAAGAGGAAGAGGTCCAAAGGTAAAGAAGTTGCTGGGGGTTCTAATAAGCAAGGCTCGGTTGAAGAATGGGTGCCTCCCTTGGAGCATAATGGCCGAGCAATCACTACATCGGACAACACAATCTACTCAAGCGACTTGGCCTTTGACTTATTAAAGACAATGCTGCTACCTTTGGATATGGCGGAGCAAAACATTTCAAGCGACGTGTTGATCAAGGGTTCAGTGCAGATGCTAACCGCAGTAAGTCTTCTTTTATGTCTTTGTCATTTACTTAAATTTGGTGGTTGAGAATATGACATTTTGGTTTGGTGCAGTGCATTCAGAGGATGCACATCATGGATGAAAGGCGACATCGTGAGGAACAAGAGAAGGTTAAGACAATCAACATGTTGGTTGATGCTGATATGTCCTTGAAGGCGGCCGGAGAGGATCTAAAGGAGATGGAAGATGCAAAGAAGAAGGTCGAAGCACTGATGTTCATGGCCGAGCGGAGGGCTGCAGATGCCGATGCTGCTCTGAAGTCTTTAAAGGCTAATTATCAAGGGATGGTGGACGAGGCCGAACAGAGGGGCTATGACGAGGCCGAAAAGACCTATTCGGAGGAGATTTTGAAGCTGAGGGACAAGATCTTTACTAAGGGTTGGACTGGGGCTCTACGTGCTGCTAAGGTGGAAGAGGCTTCTCCTCTTTATGATATTGATGACATCCCAGTCCCTTCGAAAACCGCTGCAAGGGTTAGGATAAGAAGGCCTCGGAGGGATGGAGTTACGGATGTTGATCCTTCTGGCCTTTCTCCTTTCTTGCTGAGCTCTTCCTTAGTTAGACAGACCTCTTCCTTAGTTAGACAGACTGTCAATCCTACAGAGGAGGAACACCGCGAGGATGGACACTGCGAGGAGGAGCAACGCGAGGAGTAAGTTGTTAGGTTGCCTCGAGTTTTTTCTTTTACTTCTGCTTTAGTAGTTTTTTTGTAATGAAACTTGGAAGTTAGTGAAGTATCTTCAACTTTTGCTTCAGTGCTCGGTTGGATAGGCTATAATATAAATCGAGCTCCCTTTTGTAATGAAGTACCTTCTAAATTTGCCAAGTGTTGAACTTGCAACTTGTACTTTTTTATTTGTCTTGAAGTTTGGTCGGCTGGACCTCTTCTTTTGTAAGGCCGAACTCTTTTTTGTAATTGAAGTTTCACTTCAATGCACTCGTTCTTACATTTTCGCAAGTGTTGAACTGCTTATCTTCAATTTTTGCTTGTATGTAATGTTTGCCCCCGGCCAAGCAGAGGCTCTGTGGCTTAGCAGGCCATCTGTTTGGTCTGATCAGGCTTTGAGCCTTAGAAAAAATTGAGTGAGTTTTTGATGCCCCCAGCCAAGCATGAGCTCTGTGGCTCAGAAGGTTGTCTGTTCAGTCAGACCATGCTTCGTGCCTTAGTAGAGAAAAAATTGTGAAAGTTTTTTATCATGTTGTTTGGCCGCCACCTAACTTGGTCAGGTTTTGGCGTGATTTAACCCCTCGTAGAGTGTAATTCTGCACTTCTTCGAGCGTGAATTGTGAGTATGGACCGTGCTTTAAGTAACGATACTTGGCACAAATTCCACCAAGTTATACCACTTGGCACCCTGCTCTAACCAAAGGGTTGAGCATCCGGGATTGGCTTGAGTTAAGACCCGTGGCCAATGTGCTCCACCGAGCGTAAATGTACAACACAAGTAAATAAGAACAAACTGTAAAATAAATTTCCATTCATTAATACTTGTAACTTTTGATTACATCAAGGCATGTTCTGAGAAACACATTACTGTAAGTACTTCATCTTAAGAATCACATCACTGGAAGTACTTCTTTAGGTTGGCGACGTTCCATGGTCTAGGGATTGCCTTCCCTGATAAGTCAGCCAGATAGTATGCGTCATTGCCAAGTGCTGAAGTAACCCTGTAAGGCCCCTCCCAGTTAGCACCGAGTTTCCCTTCTCCAGGAACTTTCTTGTGATCCATAACCTTCCTGAGTACCAAGTCACCTGGTAGGAATTGCCATGGACGCACATTCTTGTTGAAACTCTTAATGAGTTGCTGCTGGTAAGCTGCCAATCGAATGAGGGCAGCTTCCCTACGTTCCTCGGCTATGTCTAGAGCTTGGGCGATGGCTTCATCATTGTCTGCTGGCTCAAAGATCTCAGAACGGATGGTAGGAAGGCCAACCTCCAAAGGGATGACTGCTTCCATCCCATAGGTAAGAGAGTAAGGTGTCTCACCGGTTGACCGACGAGGAGTAGTTTGGTAAGCCCAGAGGACATTCGGTATCTCTTCCACCCATTTACCCTTGGCTTTTTCAAGATGCTTTTTTATCTCCTCAATGATCGTCTTATTGGATGCTTCAGCTTGGCCATTGCCCTGTGGGTAGGCCGGAGTGGAGTTTCGGAACTCTATCTTCAAGTCAGCGCAAAATCTCCTGAAGATCTTGCCATCAAATTGTGTACCGTTGTCAAAGAGAAGGACTCTGGGAATGCCAAATCGAGTCACAACATTGCGCCAAACAAACCTCTTAGTGTCTGCTTCTTTGATCTTGCACAAGGCCTCCACCTCCACCCACTTGGTGAAGTAGTCAGTTGCAGCGATGAAGAATCTTTTATTCCCAGTTCCCCTAGCTAATGGTCCAACAATGTCTAAGCCCCACTGAGCGAATGGCCAAGGACTAGTGAGGGGGGTTAGAGCTTTGGCTAGCTGGTGAATGAGAGGAGCAAACTTTTGGCACTTGTCGCACTTGCGGACATACTGTTGGGCCTCCTTTTGTATGCGCGGCCATCAATACCCGTGTGGTAGAGCTCGGTGTGCCAAGGACCGACCACCAGTGTGACTACCACAAATTCCATCATGGATCTCATAAAGCACATCTTCCACCAGACTTGGATGAACACAGAGTAGATAAGGGCCCATGTAGGACTTCTTGTAAAGCTTGCCAGATGAGGAGACCCAAAACCGAGCAGCTCTATGCCTTGTCTTGTGCGCTTCTTTTTTGTCCTCAAGAAGGGTGCCATTCTTCAAAATGGCCAAGAGTGGGTCCATCCAACTTGGGCCCAAGTCAGTGCAAAGTACTATTTCAACTAGTTGAATACTTGGTTGGGGTACATATTCCACCCATATTTTGCGGCCGTCCCTGGAGTTGACCGAGGAACCCAGGCAAGCTAAAGCGTCAGCACGACCATTTCCCTCGCGGCCAATCTTCTCGACTCTGATGGCTTGGAACTTTTTGATCAAATTTTTGGCCTGTTCTGCATAAGTGGCCGTCCGCTCATCGCGAGCCTCGTAAACTTCAAAGAGTTGGTTGACCACTAATTGGGAATCACTAAAGATGAGTAGCTCCTCCACGTTGAAGTGTTCGGCACTTCGCAGGCCGGCTAGTAGAGCTTCATACTCTGCCTCATTGTTAGAAGCTTTCTAGCCCAATCGAATGGCTTTCTTCCACATGAATCCTTCAGGAGAAATAAGGACAACTCCTGTCCCTGAGCCTTTTTGGTTAGAAGAACCGTCTACAAACAGCTTCCATACGTCTCCAACAAAAAGTTTCCATGCCTCGGCTGGGGATTGCCCTTTATGCTGGGCAGTCATGGTGACCAAAGCCGAGCTCCCTTCGAAGGGAACAGCTGGTCCCGGGGTGAATTCTGCAAAAAAGTCTGCCAGGACTTGAGCTTTGATTGCTGTTCGAGGTTGGAACTTGATATCAAACTCTCCAAGCTCCACCGCCCACTTTGCTGTTCGACCTGAGAAATCTGCTCGATTGAACACCGACTTGAGGGGGAATTCAGTGAGGACGTTGATGGTATGTCCTTGAAAGTAGTGAACAAGCTTCCTAGAGGCAATTAATAGTGCATATGCCAATTTCTCCAATAGCAAGTATCTAGTTTCGGCATCTAAGAGTGTCTTGCTAACATAATACACTGGTTTTTGCTCCTTTCCATCCTCTCTGACTAGCACTGCACTAACAGCATGATCAGAAACAGCCAAGTAAAGGAAAAGCTCTTCGTTGGCAATAGGTGTAGATAGAAGGGGAGGAGAGGACAAATACTTCTTCAAATCTTCTAGTGCTTCGGAGCACTGGCTTCCTCATTCAAAAATGGTCTTCTTCCTTAGAAGTTGGAAGAAGGGCTTCATCCGATCAGAGGACCGACTAATGAAACGGTTAAGTGCTGCAGCCATGCCAGCAAGTTTCTGGAGTTCCTTAGCGTTTGTAGGCGCTTTGAGGTCTTGGAGGGCTTTGATTTGGTCAGGGTTGGCTTCAATGCCCCACCTAGTCACCATATACCCCAAGAACTTCCCTGATCCTACTCCAAAGGCACATTTTAAGGTGTTCAGTCGAAGCTTGTGAGTCTTCAGAATTCCAAACACTTGCTCAAGGTCCCTCAGATGGTGCTCGACCAACTTGCTTTTGACGACCATGTCATCAATGTATGCTTCCATGGTTTTACCGAGCTGGTCCTTGAACATTTTGGTGACCATTCGCTGGTAAGTCGCACCAGCATTCTTCAAGCCGAAGGGCATTACTTTGTAGCAGTAAGTGCCTCTAGGGCTGATGAAAGTCGTTTTCTCCTAGTCAGTACCGAACATGGGGATCTGGTGGTAGCCACTGTAGGCATCTAGAAAGCTCATGTGCTCATGTTCAGCCGTTGGGTAAACAAGTTGATCTATTCGTGGAAGGGGGAAGCTATCCTTAGGACAAGCTTTGTTAAGGCTAGTGAAGTCAACACAAACTCTCCATTTTCCATTCTTCTTCTTCACCACGACGATGTTGGACAACCACTTCGGGTATTGCACTTCTCGGATGACTCCAGCAGCTAAAAGTTTATCCACCTTTTCGATCACTGCATCAGTTTGTTATACGAATGACCGCCTACTCTCCTGAACAACTGGCCGCGCTCCTAATTGGACGTTAAGTTGATGACAAGCATAATTGGGGTCCAACCCCGGAGTGTCATAGGCTGACCAGGCAAACACTTCGATGTTTTTACGGAGTAGAGCCAGCAATTGCTCTTTCTCTCCAACAGTGAGGGAAGTTCCGAGCAGGAAGAACTTGTCTGTGTTTCCTTCTTCTACCAAGACCGTCTCTAGGTCTTCTACCATCTTCTTGGTCGGCACTCTGCCGACGTCTTCCAAAACTGGCTGGTCAGGTACTTCCACCAACTGCACTTGGTCGCAGACTTGTTTGGTTTTCATGGCGACAATGAAGCAATGTTTGGCTGCCACTTGGTCTCTGCGAATCTCCTCTACTCCATACTTGGTTGGAAAGCGAACGAGTTAGTGATAGGTGGAGGGGACTGCCTCCATCTAGTGAATCCAATGTCGGCCAAGGATGGCATTGTAGGGAGATGGGGTGTTTACCACCAAGAAGTCAACAGACACCACCTTGGACTTAGCTATGACAGGTAGAGTTATTCGGCCGAGCGGCCATTCTGTTTGCTAGTTAAAGCCAACTAAAGGGGAGGTGGCAGGTGGTAGGTGTTTCTCATTGAGGCCAAGTTTCTTGAAAAGCTCATAATACATGATGTCTGCGGCACTTCCTTGGTCAATCAAGACTCGCTTCACATCGAACTTGTTGGCCACACCAACTGTAACGATGAGGGCATCGGTGTGGGGGTGCTGGATTCTCTCTAGGTCCTTCTCGGTGAACACGATGTTAAACTGAGAAGGTCTAGCTTCTGTCTTGGACTTTTTGGGAGGAGGTCCTACCGACATTACCTGTTGAATGTGGGTGGCTCGTTGGATTTCTCCTCGAATGGTGTTTTCTCTTTCGGGGTCAGTCATTCCATGGATAACGTTGATGACCAACCTCGGGGCATGGTTCTCCTCATGAGGGGCTTGGTTGAGTCCTTGCTTTTCCCTCGTCTTATCAACGTCCATCCATTGTTGGAGGTGTCCCGCCGTAACTAAGTCCTCCGAGTGTTGTTTGAGAGCTCTACAATTTTGCGTCTTGTGTCCTTTCTCTCGATGATAGGTGCAACGTAGTGTCTGATTGCGTCGAGCAGGGTCTCCAGGCATCTTAGCTGGCTAGACAAAGAAGGCTTCCCCTTTAAGTTTCTCGACGAGCCTGTATATTGGCTCTTTGAAGACGGTGGTGATGCCTTCTTAAGACTTGGCCCTTTCCTCCTCGTTTTCTGCTGTGGAGCAGTTCCTTTGGCCATAGTTCTTGCGCTGCTCATCCCTCCTTGGCTGCTCAGTCTTAGGCGGTCGAGGCGGTCTGACTTCTTCTTCAGCAACCGCAACATGTACTGAAGCAACGTTATCTTCCACACGAGCTTGTTGCTCTATTCGAGCCCTCAAATCCTTCATGTCTGACTTCTTCTTCAGCAACCGCAACATGTACTGAAGCAGCATTATCTTCCACACGAGCTTGTTGCTCTATTCGAGCCCTCAAATCCTTCATAGTGGGGGCAGGTCGTTTTGTCAACGACTGCCTTAACTTGTGCGAAGGGGGTAGGCCTTGCATGAAGTATAGCACGGCCAATTGTTCACTACAAACATTTTCCTCCAAGTCACCATACTCCTCCCAATACCATCGCGCATACTGGCATAAGGTCTCTTTCCTGTCCTTTCGGATGTTGAACAAGGTATCTAACTGCTTTGGGACTCTGTTGTTAGAGAAAAATCGGGCTAAGAAAGCCTTAAAGAGCTGCGTCCAGTCATAAATTGAGCCATTTGGAACTTTGTCAAACCATCGGAGGCCAAATTCTCCAAGGCTAGAAGGGAAGACTTTGCACATGAGTGTGTCGTTGCGGTTCTAGAGGGACATCATCTGGCGGTAATGGCTGATGTGGGTCAGAGGGTCTATCTTCCCATCATAAAGAATAAATTTCGGTGGGCTATACTTCCGTGGAGGTTCTACAGCTTCTATCTTTGGGGAGAAGGGGGTGGACACCAATCGGTCTAGAGCACGACACTCTTGTTGGTGTATGGACCGATCCAACTGGTCTCTTTCCTTATTGAGCCTGCATTCCTCCTCCTTATCTCGTCGACGTTCTCCTTCCCTGCATAGCCATCATGCCTCTTCTCTGTTATCATTTAGCTAACTTCTTAAATTGTGTGGTCACTTGTCGCGACGACAATGAAAGGTTTTAGATAGGCAGCTAACGGTCCTTTGCCTTTTATGAGAATTCTCTTGTGGGTTATTTTTTTGTAGGTTATTCGTCCTACTGCTGGCTCCTTCGCTAAGTACCAGAATCGGCCGGCTACGCTCTCTACCAGTAGGACCACGACTGTAGTGCTCTTTGCGAGGCGGAGGGGGAGAAGGGGTATGTCTCCTTTGCGATGGTCCACCAACGAATTTTCTTGGCTCCATTGGGGTCGCCATGAACTTCATCAATTGGGTGCGAAGCTCAGTGATCTCCAAACCTATTGAGTCGATGATGCGGTCACGGTGGTCTTTCTCAACAAAAAGGCGTTGAGATGTCTCAGCAGCAATGACACGACATCGCTCCGCCACATTGGGTGTCTGATCGTCATGGTCCATAAGGTCATCGTGCGCTAGAGGGAATGCCAGACCCTTATCTTTGGTTCTCTCCGTCATTGGAGTCCTCTCTACTAGCCCAGAGTAGGGTGTATCTTCGATTCCCATCGCCGGAGGTCGTCACGAAGCAAACAGTGGTTTTTCCATAGACGGCGCCAATTGTGCAAGGGTGATATCCGCACTATGAAGAAGGGTTGAACTTCGTGGATGAACAACGTGCTCTGGGAATTAAAGATCTGCATAGAGTAACAAACGGTGAGGCTGTCCGACTGGGGTTTGGTCGGTAACCCCTCTGATGGTAAAGTCAATGACTCAGGGACAGGAAGAAGAAAGAAGAGAGAATACAAAGAGTGTATATGTGTTAAGTGTGTGGATTTTGGATCCCTTGAGAATGAATAGTGTTCACCTTTTATATGAGAAGGTTATTTGTCGTTCAAGTCCTTCTCTCTCCGCCATCTGTCCAATGTGTCTTATTCGTGGTCGTCTCTTATTGGAGGAGGACGACCACTCCACCTGACACTCGGGTGCAGGTCTGTTTTGTTTGTCTCATTAGCGGACATCTCTCATTGGAGGAGGACGGACCACTCCGCCTTCCATTCAGATGCAGGTCTATCATATATGCACCTTGTCCCTCTGCACCTCCATGTCTCCACGTTCTGTTCATACAGAGGGAGAGGAGCAGAGTTGTTTGTCTCTTGTGGGCCCAAGAAAGATCTTCAGTGAATTGGCCTTCTCTAAGTTGGTCTGCTCTAGAACGGTTGTCCAACCAAGAGGTCCACCATGTTGCTCGGCCCACATTGGAGTGACGCTCGTACATTGGGCCGAACTCCTATGATTATCTTGCTTTGGAGCAAGTGTTGGCCATAGGGCTGAGGTCCGACCTAGCTCCACCTTGGAGTGAGCATCGCATTGGGCCTAGCACCAAGACTTGATTAATTTTTACCCACTTCAGCCATAGAGAAGAAAAGTGTGAAGAAAATGCCGTTGGGAGGAGGAGGAGGAGGAGGATGAGAGAGAATGTGTAGAGCAGATGTGTTTAGCTTAGACGTGGGAGAGAGAGCAAAGAGTAGTTTGGGCGGGAGATCCATTGATCTGAACCATTGATATAAACTTGGGATTAATCTCAGCCATTGGATCAAAATGTATCTCACATACATTTTATACATTTTCAAAAACCTTTCGCCCTTATTATATAGATTTCATTTATAATTTACATATTTTTTTCTCTTTTTCTTTTTAAATTTTTATCAAAATTCATAAACTAAACACAACGTTAATAATTTTGGAATAATAATAATCAAATATCATTTATGTTGTGATATTTGAGGTCCCTGTTGTAAATCAATAAAAATCAAATTACCATATGTGCTTATATTAGGCTACAAATAAACAGAACCGTTTGTGAATAGGCTTGAGTTCAGCTCGGTAAGAGCTCATTCGAACTCGGTTTGTTAAATTCTTTTTGCATTCGAGCTCGAACTCGTTAAATTTTTAATAAACAAGTCAAAACGTTCTAAAGTTCGGCCCGTTAGTTGACTCGTTTAATATTTATTATTTATATATTAATTAATATAAAAGTATGTATAAAAAATAAGATAAATATGTTATTTATATATTTAAAAAATATAAATGTAAATAATAGTTAATTATAGATAGTACATTTATATAATAGTGGTAGTAGATATTATTATTTTGATAAAACATTGACTTATTTTTTAGAATGTTATATATGTTGTATATATAATTGTATTATTAAAATTTTAATAGTAACTTTAGTTTCATATACAAGTACGAATTTATAAATTTTTTAACTCGTTAAGGCTCATGAATAGGTTCAAACTTAGTTCGTTAAATTTTTATTGAACTCAAACTCAAATTTAAATTCGTAAAAAATTTAATAAACAAACTCAAGCACACTGACTCAGCTCATTTGCAGCCTCATATTTACTTCAAGAAAACTCACTGAAAACTACATTGACATCCCCTCTATTGGTTTCAAATCACACTGTCACCCCCATTTATTAGTTTAAATCACACTGTT